AGCCACGCGGAGAAGGCTGCAGTGCGACGATCCCATTCAGCTGTTGGACAAAAGGTTGTTTTGGAGTGGAGGTAATGCTTAAGGGTGAGTACCATAAACATAGACCATAGTAGACATGCATTCTTTTTTAGTTTTGTTAATACATAGTCCTGCCAGTGCGGACATGCTGAGTTCAAGAACGGAGGGACAATGGTGGATTAGAACAAGGACGACGATAGGAATAGGTGTTTGTCTAGGTCAACAAAGTTGGCCTTCTTCCGTGAGCAACAAGCAAGACTTGATATTGGTCAGGTGAACTCAGCCATCCAAGAAAGCACACACAGGATTGTCTTCATCTGGATCATTGTAGTTGTAGGAGGTTGACTTGCCAAGTCCTCTCCTTAGTGCGTCAATGGCAATACTTAATGTTTTGTTGTCAAAGTAGACGTACATGTTGTCCTGTTTCATAATTTCTTCTCTTCCTTGTGATCCAGGATAGTAGTAAGTCTCGAGTGTTTCAAGAATGTGTGGAACAGTGATGTAGTAAGATAGTGGTTGCTTTGTTGGAGGAGTGATGTCTCCAACATAGACGAAAGGAATTACATACTTCAGCTTTTTCATGCTGATGTTCGTGAGTACTTTGTATGCGAGTTGACATATGCCAACCATGACAGACCCGCAACTATGGAAGAGAATGACATTGTGTCACTTGACCATCTACAGCATAATGAAGAAAAGCATAAAGATGACGGCTTGGGAACGTCATGGTACAATGACGGTGTTCAAAGCAAAATTGACCATGCGATTTTACTGAATGATGGTCAAGCGGAGATTATCAACACATATAAAGATTATCTACTTAATCCAGATAATCCTGGTGGCACTGCTCTGCCTCCATCTGTTGCGCTCTTAACATGCAAAGGAGGAACTGGAAAAAGTTTTGTTACCCACCAGTTGCTGAAGATTGGCAACCACAAAACAAAAACTGTTTGGACCCTAGCATCCAACAACTTGAATGCAGCTGATATCGATGGCTCTACAATTGCAAGTGTACTAAAACAAAGAATTCAGCAAAAAATGGAAGAGGCAAAGACAGTACAACAAAAAATCAGCCATGCTGCAGTTTTGGCATTGGAAAGGCAAAATGTATGCAATGCACGATTGATAATCATTGACAAAATATCCAATGTTACAGCATCCAAGCTGGGTCAACTGTCTCGGCTCTTTAGTGAGTGCACACAAAAGCCAAATGAATTTTTTGGAGGCATCCCAGTTTTGTTAGTTGGTCATTCCAATCAAAAAGAACCAGTTGGTGGACTATTGGCAACGACCTCCCTTTTGAAAAAAATTGACAATGAAACAAAGGCAAAAGAAGATGCAACAAGAAGGAAACAAAATAAGGCAAAACACTGGAAAATGCTTTCAAATCATAAATCAGCATCAATTATTGATGCTAATTCCAATAATGTGGCTTCAGACAGCACTTTGGGATGCAAAATACTTGCAAGCTGCAGATGGTTTGAACTCACAGCGGCAGAGCGAAGCAAAGATAAAGAGCATAATGAAAATGTGGACAGACTTTATGATGGAATGCCAATTCAGCTTGACAAATTTCACATGTATAAGATGTACAATGACAACACATTGATGGCTGATTCACCAGAGGAGCGGCTTAGGTGGTTAAAAGCTCCTGTAATTGTCAAGACCAACAGAGAACGATGTGCAATCAACTACGCAAGAGCTCTACAGTTTGCGAAGGCCACAAATGCCATTTTGGTTTGATGGCCCTCCAGCTACAGTAAGTGGCAAGGCAAGCCATCAAATGAATCAGCAATTGAGGAGATAATTGATAAGGATGCGGCTTTCTGGAAAATATTTGTGCCAAGGGGCCCATGCTACTGTACCTGATTGACACAATCTCCAAAGCAAGAAAGTTGTGCAATGGAACAAGAGCAGAGTACCATTCTCTTGCTTTAAGCAAGGAACAAATGCTTGAGTACGAGTTGCAAATGAAAGTAGGGCAAACTGTGATAACTCTTGAACAGCCTCCACTTGGAATAAAGATTAAAATATGCAACAAAACAATCATTCATGCCAACCTGTAATGACACAAACAGAGAAACAAAACATGTCATTGTGCCAATTCGCAAAGGGTGTCGAAGCAGTGGCAGAGAGCGACAGATGTTTATTACACCATCAAACCTGTTGCTGGAACCGTCAAGAGTTACAATCAAACCAGTTTTCTTGCTCACAGGTGGCTTTGCTCTCACCGTTGAAAAGTCTCAAGGTCAAACTCTGAGTAGAGTGATACTTGCAATATCAGAGCGTCAGCACAAACTGCAGAGTGAAGGAGTCAGGGCATTTACGTCTCCTCCTGCATGGACGATCAAACCCTGTGCTCGAGTGGGGAACACTTATTTATATGACTGGTTTGAAGCCGACCAAAAGCATTAAAGCATTCTTCGATGGCTTCACAGCCAATTGTTCAAACTGGAAAGGTGACCATTCAAAAAAAATTGCAATGGTTCATACTACAAAACAATCTAAAATAATGTACTACTTTCAATGTTGCAATCTCTGCTGTATAAATCGAAACCTTCTCAGAACTTCCAAAACTTGCTCCCATTGCTGATGAATGCCATGTTTTTTGGCAACAACAAGGCCACCTTCAATGATGTTGTGCAGAGAAACTCCCTTAGGCAGAACATCTTTCTTGAAAAGTTCTCTTGAATGGTTACTTTTGCAAATGCCACATTCAGTAGTGTCGCGGTAGTACTCTCGTTGGCCAAGATGTTGACTAATGATTCTCATTGACTTGTCAAAATCAGCAAGTTCAATTTTTTTTCCATTTGTACCATCATTGTGGATTTGCTTTTGACGTTTCCTTTCATCACTTCCATCAACCAGTGATTCCGCCTGCTGGGCGCTCATTCTGTCACCACATCCGTTCACAAGGTGGTTGTATGATGAGAATCCTCGAGAAGGAAGAAACAACTGCCAAAGATTCACACCTTGCTTTGTCAGTCCACAGCCAATAGGAGCATGGGTTGAAAACACTTGCATCCTGAATGGCCCAAACTTGATCTTACTGTCGGTTTCCTTCACTTCCATGCAAACACTTTCCATCTTCTGTCAAAGGCTGCCAATGGATAGCTCCTTGTCCGTCACCAACTTTCCAACCAAAGTATCAATCCAACGAAGAAATGTATCCAGTATCGTCACAACCCTAGTCAGTTTGTTTGGTCCATTTTCGTCAGCTTCAAAAATAGAGCCGAAACAACCACCCTTTATTCCATAACATGAGTACCTTGGAAAGGGTCCTCCCTGTCAGCTTCCAAAGATTTTCTTTGTCATGCACAAGCAGTCCTAGAATGGATGCACACCAAATGCACACCTTCCTTCTTGAGCTTCGTTCAATAGCTGCATCATACAGTAGTCAAATTGAAGATGACTGTTCAATGACAAACAGACAAAGCAAAGCTCAATCAATTGATCAAAACAAAGAAAATCCCTCAGCTTGTTTAGAGCATGAATAGGTGCAGACAATGAAAATGTGTGAGAGTATCCAATTGGCAACACCAGTGCTTCCATCAAGACCTTTGGATCTTTGCCTTGCTGCTGCAGATTGATGGTCTTATAAGACTTACCAAGCAAGTCATCAGTGTAAAAAATTGAAAGGTTCAATGGCAAGGGCAAGCCCTGTCTATTTGGCTTGCCACTATAAATCTGAACATAGCTCTTTAGTAAAGCTTCATTCAAACGATCCATGTGGTTTAATATGCCCTCCAATGATTTCTTGTAGGGCGTGCTGTAGGA